AGGTGCACGCTACCACACCCAGCTATTTTTTTTTTTTTTCGAGTGGGAGTTTCACTCTTGTTGCCTAGGCTGGAGTGCAATGGTGCAATCTCGGCTCACCACAACCTCCGCCTCCCAGGTTCAAATGATTCTCCTGCCTCTCAGCCTCCCGAGTAGCTGGGATTACAGGCATGCAACACCACACCCAGCTAATTTTATATTTTTAGTAGAGATGGGGTTTCTCCATGTTAGTAAGGCTGGTCTCAAACTCCTGACCTCAGGTGATCCACCTGCCTCAGCCTCCCAAAGTGCTGGGATTACAGGCGTGAGCTACCACGCCCAGTGAGCTACTTATATTTTCTATTGCAATGTAAATTGATTCAACTCTGTTAACGTGAAATAGTGTCTGTTTTTGTGCCACTGAAAGTCATCCCCAGGTCAGCTTGCAGTACACGATGCTTACCTGGGGAGACAGTGGAGTCATCCCCTCACAGATAGAGACTGAATGCCTCCTGTGTGGGGGGCACCCAAAGGGGTCCTCTACCCCCAGATGCAGGGCCACGTCACCTTGTTCCCAAAGTCAGTCCTCTCCTCTCAAGTGCACTTTCCCTCCCAGCCTCCGCCAGGACCTTCCCCACAAGTGACCATGCCTCCCCTCCCACCTGCAGACATACAAGCACATTCTGAGGATATTAAGCCGACCAGATGGGGCAGAGCTCAGCTTTGGGGTCGACTGAGTTTAATCCCAACTCAACCTTGTCCAGCCGGCGACTCTCTGTGGCTCAGTTTGGCCATCTATAAACGGAGATATGAATAATCCCTGCCTCTCAGGCCTGTCCTGTGACTCTAAGGAGGTAATGAAGGTAAAGAGCAGTGGTGCCGCAGCCTAGATGCTCACAGAGTGCCCAGTAAGCCAAGGCAGCCGGGCGAGTGTGGAAGAAGACGGCCCGTGGCTGGGCATCATCAACAGTCCCCATTCCAGCCATTGTCTCAAATCAGCTACCTCTTGCCCTGTAGTAAATGCAGAGTGTGGCCGGGCGCGGTGGCTCACGCCTGTAATCCCAGCACTTTGGGAGGCCGAGGCGGGCGGATCACGAGGTCAGGAGATCGAGACCATCCTGGCTAACACGGTGAAACCCCGTCTCTACTAAAAATGCAAAAAATTAGCCGGGCGAGGTGGCGGGCGCCTGTAGTCCCGGCTACCCGGGAGGCTGAGGCAGGAGAATGGCGTGAACCCGGGAGGCGGAGCTTGCAGTGAGCCGAGATCGCGCCACTGCACTCCAGCCTGGGCGACTGAGCCAGACTCCGTCTCAAAAAAAAACAAAAAAAAAAAAAAAAAGAAAAGTAAATGCAGAGTGTGATTGTTGTCAAATTCAGTTCTGCTCAAGGTCAAGGTCATCTTTTTGTTTTTTGAGATGGAGTCTCGCTCTGTTGCCCAGGCTGGAGTGCAATGGCCCAATCTCGGCTTACTACAATCTCCTCCTCCCAGGTTCACACCATTCTGCTACCTCAGCCTCCCGAGTAGCTGGGACTATAGGCCCCCACCACCATGCCCAGCTAATTTTTTTGTATTTTTAGTAGAGACGGGATTTCACCGTGTTAGCCAAGATGGTCTCGATCTCCTGACCTTATGATCCACCCCCCTCGGCCTCCCAAAGTGCTGGGGTTACAGGTGTGAGCCACCGCGTCCAGCCTTTTTTTTTTTTTTTTTTTTAGGCCAAGTGTATTTCCACAGCATTCCCTTCCCTTTTTTTTTTGAGACGGGTCTCGCTCTGCCCAGGCTGGAGTGCAGTGACCAGATCTCAGCTCGCAAGCTCTGCCTCCCGGGTTCACGCCATTCTCCTGCCTTTTTTTTTTTTTTTTGAGACGGAGTCTCGCTCTGTCGCCCAGGCTGGAGTGCAGTGACCAGATCTCAGCTCACTGCAAGCTCTGCCTCCCGGGTTCACGCCATTCTCCTGCCTCAGCCTCCCAAGTAGCTGGGACTGCAGGCGCCTGCCACCTCGCCCGGCTAGTTTTTTGTATTTTTTAGTAGAGATGGGGTTTCACCGTGTTAACCAGGATGGTCTCGATATCCTGACCTCGTGATCCGCCCGTCTCAGCCTCCCAAAGTGCTGGGATTACAGGCTTGAGCCACCGCGCCCGGCCTTTTTTTTTTTTTTTTTTTTTGAGAGGGAGTCTGAGTCTGGCTCTGTGGCCCAGGCTGGGGTGCAGTGGCCGGATCTCAGCTCACTGCAAGCTCCGCCTCCCGGGTTTACGCCATTCTCCTGCCTCAGCCTCCCGAGTAGCTGGGACTACAGGCGCCTGCCACCTCGCCCGGCTAGTTTTTTTGTATTTTTTAGTAGAGACGGGGTTTCACCATGTTAGCCAGGCTGGTCTCGATCTCCTGACCTCGTGATCCGCCCGTCTCGACCTCCCAAAGTGCTGGGATTACAGACTTGAGCCACCACGCCCGGCCCTTTTTTTTTTTTGATATGGACTCTTGCTCTGTTGCCCGGGCTGGAGTGCAGTGGTGCAATCTCAGCTCACTGCAGCCTCCGCCTCCCAGGTGCAAGCGATTCTCCTGCCTCAGCCTCTCAAGTAGCTAAGATTACAGTCATGTGCCATCACATTTGGCTAATTTTTGTTCTTTTGGTAGAGACAGGGTTTCACCATATTGGTCAGGCTGGTCTCCAACTCCTGACCTCAGGTGATCTGCCCGCCTCGGCCTCCGAAAGGGCTGGGATTACAGGCGTGAGCCACAGCACCCAGCCAGAAGGATGAATTTCACAAACATTATGTTAAACCATAGAAGCAAGAGCCAGAAGCACATACCGTATAATCCCAGGTATAAAGCAGTCCAGAGGCTTGGTCGTGACTCTGTGGTGATAGGAGTCAGAAAAGTAGTCCACAATGTGCTATCTGCTGTTGACTGGATAGGATCAAGAGGGAACTTCCTGGGGTGTTGGAAATACTTTATACTTTGGTCTGGGTTATGTTTACACAAGCATATACATATGTAAAAAATTTGCTAGGTTTGGTAGTTCACGCCTGTAATCCCAGCCCTTTGGGAGGCCAAGACAGGAGGATCACTGGAGGCCAGGAGTTGGAGACCAGCCTGGCCAACATAGTGAGACTCCGTCTCTACAAAAAATTTAAATTAAAAAAAAAAAAAAGGCTGGGCGTGGTGGCTCACGCCTGTAATCCCAGCACTTTGGGAGGCCGAGGCGGGTGGATCACGAGGTCAGGAGATCAAGACCATCCTGGCTAACACGGTGAAACTCTGTCTCTACTAAAAATACAAAAAATTAGCCGGGCGTGGTGGCGGGCGCCTGTAGTCCCAGCTACTCGGGAGGCTGAGGCAGGAGAATGGCGTGAACCTGGGAGGTGGAGCTTGCAGTCGAGATCGTGCCACTGCACTCCAGTCTGGGAGTGCAAGACACCGTCTCAAAAAAAAAAAAAAAAATTAGGTTGGGCATGGTGGCTCCCGCCTGTAATCCCAGGACTCTGGGAGGCCAAGGGGGGTGGATCACCTGAGGTCAGGAGTTTGAGACCAGCCTGGTCAACATGGTGAAACTCCATTTCTACTAAAAATACAAAAAATTAGCCTGTCATGGTGGTGCGTGCCTGTAATCCCAGGTGCTCGGGAGGCTGAGGCAGGAGAATTGCTTGAACCCAGGAGGCACAGGTTGCAGTGAGCCGAGATCGCGCCATTGCACTCCAGTTTGGGAAACAAGAGCAAAAATCCGTCTCAAAAAAAAAAAAAAACAAAATTAGCCGTAGTGGCACACACCTCTGGTCCCAGCTACTTTGGATGCTTAGGTAGGAGCATCACATGAGCCTGGGAGGTCAAGGCTACAGTGAGCTGTGATCCAGCCACTCCACTCCGGCCTGGGAGACAGCAAGACCCTGTCGCAAAATATATATATACATGTAAAAATGTAAACCGGACGGGCGCGGTGGCTCACGCCTGTAATCCCAGCACTTTGGGAGGCTGAGGCGGGTGGATCACGAGGTCAGGAAATCAAGACCATCCTCGCTAACACGGTGAAACCCCGTCTCTACTAAAAACACAAAAAATTAGCCAGGTGTGGCGGCATGCGCCTGTAGTCCCAGCTACTCGGGAGGCTGAGGCAGGAGAATGGCGTGAACCCGGGAGGCTGAGCTGGCAGTGAGCTGACATCGCGCCACTGCACTCCAGCCTGGGCGACAGAGCGAGACTCCGTCTCAATAAATAAATAAATAAATAATGTAAAACTTCCATCGAGTTGCACGGTTTTCATACCCTTTAATGTAATGTTTTGCTTCAATTAAATACCTAATAATTGACGATGACGGCGAGCAATCACTGAGTACCAGGTTCTAGGCAGTGTCATTAGACCCTAACCCCACGGCCTGGTAATGTCTGGTTCTTGTGATCTCCAACGCACAGGGAACGCGTTTTCGCAAAGGACTGAGGCGAATACGCAGGTCTGCCGGGGAAGGAGCCCCGGGCTGGCTCGCGGGACTGGCAGGTAAGCGACCCACGTGGTGGCCCGGTGGCCCGAGCGCGTTCACTGCAGAGGCACGGGCGCGGCCGGCGGAGGTACCTCGGCCCCTGCGGCCCCTGCGGCCCCAGCCCCCTCCCGCGACGCTCCTGCTGGAGCCCCGCCCGTGCCCGCGGGAGAGACCGGCCAATGGGCAGCCGGCCTGGCCCGGGTCACTCCGTGAAGGGCCTCGTCACCTAGGCTGACCACTCGCTTCCAATGGGTGAGCGGCCCCGCGGCCGCCCGGGAGCACCGGCCTTGCGCCTGCGCTACTCTCCCCTCTGCAGCATTTCCGCAGCGAGCGCTTCACTCCGAATGCCGGTTGGCGCCCTGCCAGCCAATCACCGGGGCGCCCCGAGCCCGGTAGCCAATGATCGCCCGCCTCCCCGCACCGGCCCTCGCCGATTGGCGCTGACCTCCCGCAGCCCGCGGGAGGCGGGGGCGGATTGGCGAAGGTGCAGACCAATGGGTGGTGGGCGCGAGGCGCGGAGCCAATGAGCGCCCCGGGGGCGGGGAGGGCGCCGCGGCGGGCGGCTGCGAGGAGCGGCCGGCGGGCGGCAGCGGCCGGCGGGCGGCGATGGCGGCGGCGGCGGAGGCCGGTGGCGACGACGCCCGCTGCGTGCGGCTGAGCGCCGAGCGGGCACAGGCGCTGCTGGCCGACGTGGACACGTTGCTGTTTGACTGCGACGGCGTACTGTGGCGCGGGGAGACGGCCGTGCCTGGCGCTCCCGAGGCCCTGCGGGCGCTGCGGGCCCGCGGCAAGCGCCTGGGCTTCATCACCAACAACAGCAGCAAGACCCGCGCTGCCTACGCCGAGAAGCTGCGGCGCCTGGGCTTCGGCGGCCCCGCGGGGCCCGGCGCCGGCCTGGAGGTCTTCGGCACGGCCTACTGCACCGCTCTCTACCTGCGCCAGCGCCTAGCCGGCGCGCCCGCGCCCAAGGCCTATGTGCTTGGCAGCCCGGCCCTGGCCGCCGAGCTGGAGGCCGTGGGTGTCACCAGCGTGGGCGTGGGGCCCGAGCCACTGCAGGGCGAGGGTCCCGGTGACTGGCTGCACGCGCCGCTGGAGCCCGACGTGCGCGCAGTGGTGGTGGGCTTTGACCCGCACTTCAGTTACATGAAGCTCACCAAGGCCCTGCGCTACCTGCAGCAGCCCGGCTGCCTGCTCGTGGGCACTAACATGGACAACCGGCTTCCGCTGGAGAACGGCCGCTTCATCGCGGGTCCGTGCGCCCTGGGGCGGGAGGCTGGGGGGCGGGCGGCGGGCCCCCTTCCCGCCCTTTGACCCGGTCCCCTGTGCCCCGCAGGTACCGGCTGTCTGGTCCGAGCCGTGGAGATGGCCGCCCAGCGCCAGGCCGACATCATCGGGAAGCCCAGCCGCTTCATCTTCGACTGCGTGTCCCAGGAATACGGCATCAACCCCGAGCGCACTGTCATGGTGGGAGACCGCCTGGACACAGACATCCTCCTAGGCGTCACCTGTGGCCTGAAGACCATCCTGACCCTCACCGGAGTCTCCACTCTAGGAGATGTGAAGAATAATCAGGAAAGTGACTGCGTGTCTAAGAAGAAAATGGTCCCTGACTTCTATGTTGACAGCATAGCCGACCTTTTGCCTGCCCTTCAAGGTTAAAGATTGGGTGTCTTTAATCTCCAGAATAAAAAAAAAAAAAAATTGAAAACCAGTTACCCAAATTAATAGGTGGGGCTTAGGCATCTGCTCGGCTAAGTGGCTTCAAGGAGTGTAATTGGAGTTAAGCAAAGGCATTCATTGTTAACCTTGTAAGTACACGTTTGGGGGACGATTTTGTTTACAGATGCTTGTAATCGAAGATGCACTTTTAGGCTTGGAAGGCATTGTGGGGTTGGCGGGGGCAGGCTCAGCACCTGTCCGGGATTCAGGTAACCGAGGCGGGTCTAGGGGTGTGTGTCCTGTATTTTATGGAAAAACTCATTCAGGGATCCAGCCCCTCAGGGGGCGGAGGGACTGATTGTTCTGACTATTGGGAGAGGCTTGCATGGACCAGGGTCCCATCAGTGTGACTGGAAGTCCAGCGGAGCCTTCTGTGTTCCCGTGCCTCCCGGCAAGGAGAGGGTGGAGGAGGCAGCTGCTCCCAGGTGGCATCTCTCTGCCACTGGGTGCAAAGTGCTGCCCTCACCACCCTCCCGCCTCCCCTACTTCCTTGAAAACCACTCTGATGTCACAACTGTCTGTTCCGTTTCAGATACCCAGGGCTGCTGCCCGGTTCTGTAAATGCAGCCCAGCTAAACCTCTTGCTGTCTCAAGTGTGCATTTAAACCCAGGTGATTTGGACTGAGCAGCCGCGATGGCGTGGACGCCTTCGCTGAACTCGGGGCTGCAGTGCAGGGAGCTCAGAGCAGTGCTGCTACCAAACAGTTTTTAACTTTGAACTACTGTGTCAGGCAATGGAGTTGAATCTTAAGTGTGTTAATAGCTGTGCTCTTTGTCGTAGGGAAAATCCCACTGAAGGAGCCTCTGTGCCCTGCAGCCAGTAGCACGGCTGAAGCATGTGTTGGCCGAGGAATGCCTGTCATCCAGGTGCCCTGCAGCCGGCAGCGCGGCTGAAGCATGTGTTGGCCTAGGAATGCCTGTCAGTCATCCAGGGCTCTGGGAGGGGAGGGGAGGAGAGTTGTGTCCCCGAGAACAGCAAGTCCTTTACAAAGCATCCAGTCTCTTCCAGTCCTCCCATTCCCTAGGTTGGGGTAGGGGTTAGAGGCTGGTGGCCCAGGAGGTCACCTGCCTTGCCCTGGATTCCCTCTTCAGTGGCCAGGAGGAGGACTTGGCAGGGCCACCAGCTCGCCAAGGTTCTGGGCGGGGCTCTGGTCTCTCCTGCCTGCTCCTTGGCTCTGCTGACCTTTCACAGGCCTGACAGCAGACTCAGCAAGGCCATCCCAGGACACTCACCTTCTGGCTGGCTCCCTACCAGCACCTTGCCCGGCAGCTTCTCTTTTGGCCCCATAGTCACAACACTCCACTTGGTCACAAAGACTTTAGAGCAATAAGGGGCGTCCTGAGCCTTCAGCACCTCCCAGGCCTGGGATGTCAGGTTTAGTGGGTGCTGCGGAGCAGCATGAGGGCGGCTGTGCCCATGAGGCTGGTGGCACTGACACTGGCTTGGCTAGGTTGGCTCAAGCCGGGTCTGGCCTGGCAGGGTGCAGTCACACCAGGAGTGCATGGCACATCCAGGAGTGCATGGCAGGTGCAGCCTCGGCGATGCCTCTCTTGCCGGGTGGGGGCTAGGAGTCCCTGTGCACCCTGTCTCTAGCCCATGAGGGGCTGCAGCACTGTCTGCACCAGAGCACAGATTAAACTCTCAAACCCACACTGGCTCGGGTGTCCTTGCTCTCGCCTTGCATTGGCCCGGGCGATGCCGTCTCGCCGCGGGTGGGAGGATTCAAAGTAGATGGGTAGCTGGGGTTCCAACTCTGGAGCTGGAATGGCAACTGCCCACTCCTGGCCTGGGTCAGAGGAAGATGTTGTTGAGAATGAGGGAAAGCCAGGCACAAAGGGAAACCAGGGAAGGAAAAGGCCTCAGAGTGAAGCTGGTGGGCTGCCATGGCAGAGAGCCCAGGCAGGGAGCAGAGCTCAGAAGTAATGCTGGGCCGGGCGCGGTGGCTCACACCTGTAATCCCAACACTTTTAGGAGGCTGAGGCAGGCGGATCACTTGCGGTCAGGAGTTCAAGAGCAGCCTGGCCAAAATGGTGGAAACCCATCTCTACTAAAAATACAAAAATTAGCAGGACATGGTGGCATATATCTGTAATCCCAGCTACTCAGGAGGCTGAGGCGTGAGAATTGTGTGAACCCAGGAGGCAGAGGTTGCAGTGAGCCGAGATCACGCCACTCCACTCCAGCCTAGGGGACACAGCAAGACTCCCATCTCAAAAAATAAAGTGCTGGGCGGGCCCCCGAGGCTGGCCTGACTATTCCGGGGGCACAGGCACAGCAGGCTGCCTGTCTGTGGTCCAGCCTTCAGGAACCCCCTGGACTTGGGTGTGTGGGGGCTGGGAAGTGGCTGGGGGTGCATAGTCCCACACCTGTCATTCACTGAGCAGGCATTTATTGACAGCTTGTGGTGTGTCAGGCCCTATGCCCAGCTCTGGGAGTCAAGGGTAACCTGAGAGACTCAGGCCACTTTAGGAAAATGAAATCCACCCCAACCACACTTAGTGAGTCGCCCTGGCCGGGCCTGGACTGCCCTCCAGTCAGTCAGCTGGACTGGATTTCCACTCCGCCCAGCCCTATGCCTCCCAGACCCTGATCTCCAGTCTGCACAGGCCAGGTGTCTGGAGCCGGGCCTGGTGACAGGCATCCCCCAGGTGGGAGGAGGGGACTGTCCTGGCTCTGACCTGGATATCAGATCCGGAGCTGAGGGAGAGGCGCGGGGTCAGGAGGGGGGGCGTTCTGAGTTTCCCCGGCCAAGGCTGCAGACAAGGGGCGCAGACAATCGGCACATTGTGAGCAGGGGCTGCAGGATGAAGCCAGCGAACTGCCGCGCTGAGCGCCCCAAACCTGGGCCTACAGGGGTGAGTGCCTCCCATCACTCCTGCAGCAAAGACCCAGGGGGTGCCCCGGGCCACCCAGCCCCTCCCTTCCCTAGCCCACTGGCTCCCTGATCTCTAAACCCCATGACCCTTCTGACCCTAATGCGCCCCCAGGTGAAGACCAAGCCCACCTGTGGGGGCTGGAGAGCCACGGGCCTATCCCTGTTGCTGCTGCTCCTGGCGCTGGCCACTGCGGGGGCTGTGGCTGGAGGGCTTCTTGGCTTCGCTCAGGGCCCTCCCAAGGTGAGCCCCTCCTCAGCACCAGGGATGTGGACAGTGAAAAGGGGAAAGGGAAGCTGGCATATCCCAGCCTCCAGCAGAGCCAGGGTGCAGAGCAGGCAGTGACCGCCTAGGAGCAGACGGCCAGAGGTGGAAGGGCCCACTCGGGGATGTCAGGAGTCCTGCAGCCCAGAGCTGGGGGCTGTGCTGGGGTTGTCCAGCTGCCCAGCTGAACTCCAACTCCCACTGCCAGCCAAGGCTGCAGACGCTGCGAATGACCCTGCCAAGCCCCCACATGCCCCGGCCCAACCAAACCATCCTGGTGGACGTGGCCCAGAACGTGGCGACCATCACAGTGACCTCACCTCAGAGCAACCACAGCTGGGTGGTGCTGTTCGACGGGCAGAGCGTGAGTGGGCAGGGAGGGCTCACCCTCGAAGGTGTGGGTCGGGGTGGCCCTGCCTCACCTCCCTGCCTCCCCAGGGCTGCATCTGTTACCGCCCTGAGGAGCACCAGGCCTGCTTCCTCCGCCTGATGGAGGACAGTGATCGGGAGACCCTGCGGCTGCTGATGGATACCTCCAAGGTGAGCCGTCCTGCTGGGCACAGCCCCCCACCAGGGGCTAGACAAAGGGTCCTGTGTGCAGCTGGGCACAGGATAGGCTGGAGCTCTGGTTTCAGGGAACAGGAAGCTCTCTCCACCCTGAGCCCAGGTTGCTGACAAGAGCAGAGGGTGGGGACATCACTGGGGGTTGGGGGGTACCCAGCCCCGCCCAGCCAGGAGTAGGGAGCACCCTTGTCCCACAGCCCACCAGAGCCTTCTCAACAGGTCCAAGAGCCTCGGGGCCCTTCCCAGGACACCCAACACACCCAGGAGCTGCTGGCGGTGCAGGGGAGCCACGAGGTGGACCCTGCCCAGGTGGGGGATTTGGTGCAGCGCCTGTGCACAAGGACCCCCATCTACTGGGCCCGGCGAGCAGAGGGTGAGTCAGGGCCGCTGTGGGGGGAGGCCAGGCCCTCGGGATGGTTTGATGAGCTGGGGGCGGAGCCCTTGGGGATTCACGGCACCCTCGCCACAGGGCCCCGGAGACAGCGGCTGATTTATCTGTGCATCGACATCTGCTTCCCAAGCAACATCTGTGTGTCAGTCTGCTTTTATTACCTCCCAGACTGAGCCCCGACCTGGCCCAGCCCGGTCCCTGTCCCCAGTCCAGCGGGCTAGCCAGGTCACCCACACCAGGGAGGACAGCTGCCGGCAGGGACTAATAAACCCTTCCACCTGGCCACGGTGGTGTTCTCTGTGGACTAAGGCCCTGAAACGCGGCAGGGAGGGGACAGGAAACACACTAGCTTGGGGGTGGGCACCAGCCTCAGACCCCTCAGCAGCTTTGGGCCCTCAGCAGCTTTGGGCCCTCGGCTGACTTTCCCAGGCAGTGCAGGCTAGCCCAGTCCAGGAGTGTGCAGCCTGGCTTGGGTTGAGCTGTCACATCTGGATAAGCAACTGGGGGCTGAGAGTCCCAGGGCGGCCTGGCCCAGCAGGTCAAGGTGCCACAGGGGGCCATCAGGTCCAGCTGGCGTAGGCCGGCAGTAGGGCCTGTTCTGACCTGGGTGCTGCATGGGACCCTCCAGCTGCCACCACCTACACCAGGCAGTCCCGAGGGGTCACAGGCTAGCCCAGCACACTGTCGTTGAACGCCAGGCAGACGACAGCCTTCTGGTGGCCGCCATACTCTCTCTTGATCTCTCCAGTCTCCACACACCAGAGCCGGGCCAGGTTGTCCGAGGAAGCTGGAGGGGGAGATAGGGCAGGGCTCAGAGCAGAGGTGCAGGCCAGGCAGGTGGCCCTAGCAGAGGGGGAGCCGCAGCCAAGGTGGGCTGGCTCTGGAGGCCAGTGCTGGGAGGCCAGGGATGGGGAGGCCGGGGCGGGGCTCACCAGTGACGATATACTGGGAGTCCCCCGAGAAAGCGCAGCCCCACATCCAACCACGGGAAGACTCCCCGGGGTTGCCACTTTTGATGCTCAGCTCCGTCATCAGGGAGAAGTTGGACGTCCTCCAGATCTTGCACGTCTGATCAGCCGAGCAGGTGGCGAGGAGCCTGGGGGATGGGCGTGGGGGCGTGGGGGTGTGTCCAGCAGCAGCCACTCCACCCAGCAGCCCCTCCCGTCTCCAGCCCACAGCCCAGGCAGGTCCCCTCCCGGGCTAGCAGGCCCTGCACGCACGTGGAGTCGGGGCTGAAGCGGCACTGCAGGGCGTAGCGCGTGTGGGCTGGGATCTTGGTCTTGGGGATGAGCTGGGTTACCTCGTCACCAATGCCCCCCGTCAGATTCCAGACATAGCAGTTTCCCTAGAGGTCAGGAGGACCGTCACAGGGGACCCGAGGCCTCAGGTCTGAGACACAGGGAAGGATGCCCTGGGGGCCAACACTGGGGTTCAACTGTGCATGGGGACCCTGGGTCAGGGGCGGACAGGCCCCTCTGGTCCTGCCTGCAGGAGGCACCTGGGAAGCCTGGCCCCAACCAAGGGCCACACATGGCAACCCAAGAACAGGAGGCCACACCTGGCCAAAGACTCAAATTCCCCTTCCTGGAGGATGCCGATGGCCAATGGAAGTACACTGGAGAGGGCACCAGCTAGAGGGACAACATGACAAAGGCCAGGAGAAGGGAAATCTGGGGGCAAGAGGGACAAGTGACACGCTGGGATTAAATGGAGTTAACGGAAAAAAACGAGGTTGGAGAGAAGAACAGGGGCCACACCACGGCAGCCTAAGGGCAAGGCCAGTAGCCCTGGGTCTCCCCAGGGGAATGCCACCTGGCTGGTACTGACGAGGCGCCACTAGAAGCATCCAAGAGAGAACGGGTAAGGGGCCGGGGGACGTCAGGGAGGAGGAAAGGAGGCCTCAGAGAGTGTATCAGCTGTCATGGGAAATGAGGGTGACTGGGACCAGGAGGCAACAGAGAGAAAAGAGGGAAGTGGACCGACTTGGGAGAGACTCCAGAAAGCGGAGTGACCGGCCTGCAGACAGGGCCAAGGCACTGGGAGCGACATTCACACTTCTGGCTTTGCTGGCAGGGTGGGTGTTAGTGCCCAGTACAGGGGAAGCAGGAAGGGGGCACTAAGGGACATCCAGGAATAAGCCCACCTGCAGAGGCTGAGGGCTGAGTGCCAAGCTGGCCCCACCCAGCACCTGCCTCCAGGACTCACAGCGCTATTGACGGCTGCCATGTAGCTGGCGTCGGGGTCAATGTGGGCAGACGTGATGGAGACCTCAGGCTCGGGGATCAGCTGCTCGTTGTGGTCTGTTTTCAAGTCCCAGATGTGGATAGCCCCGCTCTGGTCACCCACGATGAGCTCTGCCTGGGGTGCAGGGGTGGTGAGGCAGGACCCAAGCCCAGCCCTCCAAAGTCCCAGAGTGCCTGGCCCCATGAGCACCCCTCACCTGGTTGGGGTGCAGGCACACGCAGTTAATGGGTGCGTTCACTTGGAAGATCCGCTGGCACTGCAGGTTCCGGGACCTGTGGACCGGGCCAGGGCACATGCTGTCCATCTGGGCTTGTTGGTGCCCTACCCAGATGGCCTTGGCCTGGCCACTCCTCCCCTCCCTCTGCTAAAGGACCTGCCTCTTGGGAAATACTGAGACGCAGGGCCCTCCACTCCAGCAGGGAGCCTAAGCCAGTGGCTGGTGGAAGGCGAATAATGCGCTGGCTCCGGGCTCAAGGCAGGACTCGCGCTTTGATGCAATTCACTCTCCTCCTGTCCTCACTTCTCTCACTGAGTCGCCCACAGGAAGCTCCCTATTTCAGCCTCTGCTTGGAGAGAACCCAACCTAAAATGGTCTCTCAGAGCAGCCCAGCCCAGCCCCAGGCAGCAGGCCCCTCCCCACCGCACCTGAGGTCCCAGATCCTGGCTGTGCAGTCCTCGCCACCCGTGTACATCCAGCGGCCGTCTTCGTGGAAGCCCACAGATGCGATGTTCTTGTTGACGCCATCATAGCTGATGATGGGGTTGGGGTTATTGGAGTTGAGATCATACATGCGGATGTGCTGGTAACCTAGGGACACAGGCTGAAATGAAGCTTGGTTGTGCTCAGGTCGACCCACCAAAGGTCAGGGGTTAGAGATCAAGGGTCACAGATACCTGCAGCAGCAATCATACTGCGGTCTGGTGTGATCTCCAAGGCATTCACCTGCTGGGACTGTTAAGGAGGATGATGGGAAGGCAGCCCTGAGGACAGGGGCCCCCAGGCCTTCACCATCTGGCCTTCACCCAGGCTGTGGTCCCCACATGAGGCATCCCTCCAGCGCCGCCCTGCCCGCCCCAGGTGGAGGATACAGAGTCCTGGTGCTGCACAGTCCGGGTGCAGATGCCGCTGTGGGCCTGCCAGAAGCGCACGGTGTGGTCGTAGCCTGCAGTGGCCAGGATGACCGGGTCACTGCCCACCGTGCCTGGGGACGTGTTCATGGTGTGGCCTGCACGGGCCCTAGAGCTGAATGGCAGGGGTCAAAGATCAGGGCATCTGCAGAGAAGGATGTAAAGTACTTAGAGGACACACTGTACTAAATAGATTACAGATCCACGGGGCGCTGCTTAATGGCGCTTACCATTCCCAATTTAGAGTTGGGACAACAAGCGGAGGTAGGTTCAGGGACACGCGTCACACGCGTGACACCCGGCTCCGGGCGGCTCCGGGGCTCCAGGGCGCGTGCTCCATCCCCGCCCCATGCACCCGGCGGGGGCGCCGTCCCCCCCGCAGCCGGCAGGGGGCAGTCACGCGCGGGCGCCACTCTGCCGCAGGAGCGGGCTGCGCGTGCGCAAGGCGGCGGATGGGCCGGGGAAAGCCGAGCCCTGCGGCTGCGCATGCGTAGCGGGCCGGCGGCGGGCCGTGATGGGAAGGGGCGCAGTCTAGCTGGACCCCCGAGCTCCCCTGTCCTCCGCCGACCGCCCTTTCTCCGTCCTGCTGGCCGGCTTCCCCTGGCCGTATTCTCCCAGCCACCCAGCAGCCGGTTCCCGGCCCCTGGCTCGCGGCCTCGTACCTTACGGGCGACTCCGCACTCCGCTGTGTCCAGGACGGCGCGGGGAGCCGGAGCGAGTCGATCGAGGTCGAGCGTAGAGTTATCGATAACTCCCTAGGGCGAGACCATGGCGCGGGCGGGGGTGGATGGGACGAGACCAAAGTTCTGGGGCAGGGGGTTCCCGCCGGGGGGAACCCGGAGAGGTTCCTTGCGCGGCCGCGGGCCCGGCGCGAGGTGGAAGGAAGCTGCAGTTTTCTCTCCGGCCTCCTCCCCACTGGCACCTGCCCTTCTGACACGGCTGTCCGTTTCCCAGGCTGTCGGGTCGCGCCGTTCCCGTGCCCTCCGTGACCCACTACTGCGCCACGCTGGGCTAGAATTGCCTGAAAATTACAGGACTTGAGTTCAGACAAGTAACGAATAATTTTTTTTTTTTTTTTTTTTTTTAGTGTAAGTGTATCCCGGACGTTGCATGGGAAATACTTATGCTAAAAAAATTTTGCTGGGCATCCTGTAGTTGTACTCACTAGATCTGGTACCCCAGCCCCAGCCTGACCCTTGGGACATCCCACTGAGCCCAGGGTCCCCCTCAAAACCACAGGCCCTCTTTCTAGCTCTGTGCGCTCCACGCCGGTGCCCTCACCCTTGAGACTGGCTCTTGCATGGTTTTTTCCCACTGCTCTTACAGACGTGACTGCACCCCTTCCTCTGGCTGCAGAGGGGGTGCCTCTTGTCCCTTGACCAGGCCATAGTTCCAGGAGCCTTCCTTCCTATACCTTCACCTCCTCTCCTTCCTGCCCCTTAGCCTTTAAACACTATAAAACAATCCCAGACTCTCTTCGTTAAAGAGCGGTCCTCACCATTAGACCACGTCCTCACCTCCCACTCTCATTCTGCAACCCCAGTCATCTGCCTTTTACCCCAGCTCTCTAGGTCTCCAGTGGAAATTCCTCAAGGCCACCCTAACCCTAACCCCCCGTTTTTTTGTTTTTCGGTTTTTTTTGAGTCGCAGTCTCCCTTTCTCACCCAGGCTGGGGTGCAGTGGTGCAATCTTGACTCACTGCAAAACCTCTACCTCCCAGGTTCAAGTGATTCTCCTGCGTCAGCCTCCTGAGTACCTGGGATGATAGGCATGCGCCACCACACCTGGCTGATTTTTGTATTTTTAGCAGAGATGGGATTTCACCATGTTGGCAAGGCTGGTCTCAAACTCCTGACCTCAAGTGATCCGCCCACCTCAGCCTCCCAAAGTGCTGGGATTACAGGTATGAG